AAAAGAGTAATCATGAAATCTCACTCGTCAGAGTTCGCGCCGTGTGTTTAGATATCAGAGCTTATGATACGATACGATACAATACTATACAGAACAGTAACTTGCGGTAAGCTTACCTGGAGCAGCTAGCGGGCTTAGTTTAGATAGCGCTGTGGATCTTCAAAGGAGGGGAGGGTTTACGAATGACCCAATAGAGGAGGGAAAGAAATCCCAAAATAAGCAATTATCCCAGACCTTGTGGACAATAATATCATGGATCCAGGCTGGCTCTTACTCGGTAGCACCCTCCTGCACACAGTCCTCCCCATACACTGCCGGGGCATCCTCTCTAGGCCTTTTGTCTGACCATCTCGAAATCCTCGCAGGTTGGGATCTAAATCCCTTTGTTATAGGGAGACTTAATTCCTCTACACTGTCTGCTACATGAATTCCTATGGCAAAAGATATCATCACTCGGCATTACATTTTATCTCGAGGGTTGCCGTTTTCGGTATTGTACTCTAGAGGTGTAGTTCGCGGTGTTGTGTCCACAGTTTCGGGTGTTGTGGGGTGGGGCATCGAAAACTCACCCCAAAATCTGGTATGATATGTAATCGCCGTTTGGTTGCCTTGCGGAGGTATTGGGAGGCATCGTGGTTGTATTACCCCCCCCCCTTCCCCCCTCCGTACTACCAGAACTCGATAGATCTCTAAGGGACTTCGGGATATGGTTCAGAGAGGCCCCATTGTGTTTTTCTCGTTTCTACCTAACTCAGTCAGTGCTCGTCGGTGCTCTGTCTAGTACTATTTCGAGTGGGTAAGGTCCATCCCGGTGTAGCTTTCCCATGCGGAAACCGCCGTCTGTATGGGCGTCTTCTAAGATGAGGAAATTTTCGTGATAACACTTGCCACTCTTGCCAAATCAGTGAGAGATAGATCAGGGAAATTCCTATATTGTCAGTGGTTTAAACTGGTGCCTTCTACTGGTAAGATTTCCGGCCCTACCGATAGGAGCCACTGTCATGTTTCCTTGCGTTACGAATCACATGTCTCCTTATTTTCTACGGGTACGACTTACTATGGAGTGTCGATTCTTTTTTTCTAGGGCCTGGGTTGAGTATCCCCAGCCAGAGGAGATATATGGTACTAACCTCGGGACTTGTCACACGGGGAGATATGGGCGTCAGCGAGACAGACCACAGAGGATAGGAAAAATATCGCCTTGTGACAAGTCAATATTTGTATGTCGGGGGTGCGGGAGGAGCACCTGTACATACGGATGCTTGTCCGTTGATTGACTTGGCGATGAGCGATGCTGAAGCACGTGTGAGAGTTCATGGAGAGAATATGAGGATACAGGAAAACGCCAAAAAAAACCACTGGCTTCACTAGGGGGGTGCCTGCCAAGGCAGCGTTCTGTGAGAGATACCTATTGCCGTCGGGCTCATATGCTTCGGGGATTTCCTATTCAGGGAATCACATAAGTTATTGTACTTTAGATGTATCATTGGGCGATTTTTTCTTTTTTTCTTTTGGAGTTGATGGAGAGGGCAGTGGACTGTGACCGATTGTAGAGAGTTGTAAGCTAGGTGGCCTCTTTTTCTCGGAAGTTTTGGCGAATTACCGAGATGTTTCTCTGGTAATGTAAACCTGTATTGGCGCAAAGCGGTATCTGCGATCTTCGGGAGAACTAAGGTGGTCTCTCTGCGTTTTATATATACTCCTTTCTTCACCTTTGGTTTAGAAAGTCCTGAACAAGTGAGGTTTGTGATCATAAATTTACTCCGGCTGCTCTATAACAAACAAGTCCTATTCTGATATGCTCATTCCATCCCTGGGCTATTTATTGATACCACCCAAGGGTGTTGACCATTGGAAAAGCCAGATGCTCGTTGAGTTGGGTTTAGTCGCATCAGTGCTGTTACTGTGCTTCCCCACCACCAGTCCCCGCGGCCCACTAGTTGCGAGTGAGTATACATGACACAGGCTACAGCTAAAGCACTGATGGCTTCCCCGCTGTCGGTGGCCCGAAGAGGGGGAGGGTGGTGAATTCTTCAGTTGAGCTGGGCTAGGAGTTCAGCAGAAAGGTTGAGTGGTATAGGGAAATAGGAATAGTACCAATTGGCGAGGGGCAAGAACCGGAGTAGAGGGCCGGGCGCTGAAGAATAGAGAATTTTGGGAAGAGCCTATTTTTATATATATTCCCCGGTGCATACAACCCAAAGGTTCTCTGCTGGACCCTCGCTGGCACGGGTTCGTTTTGAAAAACGTGATAACTCGGAAAACAGAGCCCGGCGACAATGGCTTATGTTTGGAAAGATGTTCGCGATCGCTATAGAGCTTTCTGTCTTATCACACAGATAAAAAAATAAGGGTATAACGGACCTTACCAGGAGAGGAGACTCCACAATCCTAGTATGAGGTTCGATTTTTCTGTCTCTTGTCAGACTGTGCGGTAATGCGCTGGGTCGCATCCTTGGTGGATTTCCTCCGCTCTGGGATCTCACTCTCCAGGAGGGTAGGTTCTAGACTGGCGAGTGATGTAGTATGGAGGCTAGGAAATACATCAAGTCCTTTCATACACTCACACTAGTTGCTACATTTCCCACTCTGATTTAATACTGATATATTTTTATTTGCATTAAAAGTGCTTGACGAGGGCCCATATAGTAAAATATAATACTTTTGGCACAAAATGGGGGGTAACAAGGTCTCCCACCCGCTACTTGTCCTGCGGGAATTGTTGCCTACAAGTAATCGGAGAAAAATTCCTGTAGGTAGTGTGCACTCATTGATCAAGGTGTAGATGGGTGGGGGTCGCAACGACGGTAGCTAGATCTGAGCTGTGCTTATTTCGTGGCGAGTTATGGGACGCAACAGGGTCAGAGCACCGAAGCCGGGCAAAACCCGGAGAGGGTTGCAACATTTTCTCTGGACGGAAGTGAAAACGGATGCTTGTCACGACCGCCGTGGCAAAACCTCCGTAATGGTACGAGTACATAACCGTGATGATGGGGGGTGGGGCGATCTGATTGGCCGGGGGGATGGGTTTTATGGCCTACATGTACACTACAATAAGCGAGGAACTCATACGGGGCATTCACGCTGCAAGATCTTTTGTTTAAAAAATGCATGAAAGGGAAAGACCAAGGCGTAACGCAAGAACTGATGATCGATCTTTCATTCCTCTTTCACCCTTTTCCGGTCGCTTGCTGCTACTTTATTCATTCATAGTGCGGGGTGGTCACGGGCAAATTGGAGAGCGAGTGGGGGAAGGGGGGGAGGGGCGAACGAAAGAAGGAAGTAGGAAGAGCGAGAGAAAAAAGGAAGAACGAACAAAAGAGAAAGAGAAGGGAAGAAGGAGGGACAAGTGAAGTAGAGGAGGAACGAAGGAATGGACGAACGAAGAAGAGAAGGGGGGACGATGGAGCGGGCGAAAGAAAAAAGGAAGAAGGAGGAACGAAAGAAAAATATGAGGAGGGATGAGAGAGTGAGAAGAAGGAGGAACGAAAAAAAAAGATGAGCAGGGATGAGAGAGTGTGAGAAGAAGGAGGAGTGGTGGAAACGATGGGAGAAAAAAGGAAGAAGGAAGGGGGAAGGGAGGTGAACGGGCGAGGGGGATGGGGGAGGGCGAGGGCGAGGGGGATGTGGAAGGGCGAGGGGGATGGGGAAGGGAGAGGGTGGGAGGAGGGGGAGGAGGAAAGGTGAGACAGGCGGGAAAAGGAAGGAGGAACGGACCAGTGAGGAAGAGAGGAAGGGGGAACGAATGAGGGTAAGGGAAGGGAGAAGGGCAGGGAAGGGGGAAGGAAGGGCGGAGAGTTGTTTGGGATGCCACTTTTGTTGGTTAGTGGTACCGGAGGTCATCCTCACCATAGTGAGGGCACTGGGTTAGGTGCGTGTAGGGTATGGATGAAGTATGGCAATCATGTGTTTCTCATACAGATGGTTTCCGTTGTGGCTAGCAATACTTGCCGTTTTCAGAAGTATCCGGATCCCAGGAGATTGGCTTGGCAGCAGAAAAAACTACACTATCCACTGTATTATGTGCCCATATTGAGCAGAGAGTGAATTAAAAAAAAAAAAAAGCACTAAGAAACCTAACAGCACTCCTCAAGCACCTGTATTGATTTTTGAATTTTTTTCTCCTTGGGTATTCTTATCGATCCTTTCTGTTAAGCGAAAGGACAGATAAATGCCAAGCTAAACCCGACATCCGGATACTTTTGAAAACGGCAAGTACACTGATCGTTCCTTCCTTCCTCGGTGCCTCCACGCCAACAACTTTCTTGGTCTTTTTTGGGGTCCCTTGGGTGGCGCTCAATAATAGAGACACACCCCTAAACTCTAGTAATTGTGTTAGTATCGGGCAAGGGGATAGGATTCTATTGCTGGCCACTTCGGCCGGTGATGAGCCAATTGACCGGTACCGGTATCTTAAGAACCAGGATATTGCACTGCAGTACTCGTACAGTGCGATACTCACAATTGCCCGACGTTTGTAAAAACGATTAGGTCCACAAGGGCCTAGTGCGTGAGACTCGCTCAAGACTTAACGTACATTATGATACCTTTGAGAGCTTGGCAAGTCGTTTAGTATTAGCTTGCTTGTTCTTGCCTGGCACTTGTAAGTGTTGCTAGTGTGGCAGGCTAAGTAAAGTGTGAGTTAGTTCAGATGGGGACGATGAATGAAATTATCGTACCTCTGTACCGGTATGTTGCATCCCTCCTGCTGAGGGGTAGTTAGTCTATCCGGAGGATACACCTCTGCCGAAACACCTGTACCCTCAGTGTACCGAGAGCTTTTAACCTCCCTACTTGAATATCCTGCAGATGCGGCATATGCGTACCCGCACCAGTTTTTCTTTTTCTTTTTCCAAGCGTCGGTCGCTTACGTAGTATGGTAGTTTTCCATCCGAATTTAGCTCAGGTATCATTTATGGGAACCGTACCATACTTGTACGAGTACTGGACTGCCTGTAGTGCAGTTCTCGGATATGCTTGCGCTGACCGGAAGCCTAGCCTGCTAGCGATTCATTGCATCTTGAGAGGCCGTGCTGGGGAGATGAAGTGTGTATTGTCCCCGGAACTGATTCTCGGGTAACGTTGCTGTCATCTCTGCAAGCTAGAATAAATCCACCATGAGGGCCGGTGGTGTGGCGCAAGATTTGGTCATCGAGCGACATTGTTGGTGGCCAGGCTGGGCGATTGGCATAGACTTCTCTTCCCACATAGCCCTTGTGTGGTGCTGTAATTGTTTAAGCGTACACTACTCGAGTACATAACTAGCCGGCCTGCCACGCTTTCTTCGCTTCTGATGATGGCGGGCAAGATTGTTGTTAATTCCTTACATTCTACAATTCCAAAAGACCCCACTACACTCGAGGAGGCCTTCCCGAGGTGCACGACGGCTCCCACTCCATCCACCTATTATCTACAGATACACGGGATTGCGCTGCTACGGCACTGAGTCGTCATGCCTTCTTCCCAAAATTTTGCTGTCAAAACCCTGATATCACGATTTGATAAAAGTGATAACTTGGAAAAGGAAGAACGGGATACCGATGGCGTGCGTCTTGTAGAGGTATTGGCAATTATTATAGCTGCCCTCACTTTACTTGCCGCGATGATCCCTCTCTTTCGGCGCTCACGGCTTCATCGTTGGGTGTCCTCGCTCTTGATTTCTCCCTTTACCAGGGTATACCGACCCCTCCTAGCTCTCCTTAGACATGTTATACTTATTCTACATTATTAGCCTTACAATCCCGCACAGAAACCTCTCGGCATCCCTATTCCTGACCCTGAAGCGGCGGTTGTCACCACCACGGAGGACTCAAGAGCCACCCCAGTTGCTGAGCTTCCTCTGCCCGGCCCTGTCCTTATTTACAATGACTGTTCCAACACTTACTTTGTTGACACCCTTTCTTATACCTTGCTGTACGACTGCGGTGGCATCACTGGGGAAGATGGTAGAGTGCGTCAAGTGGAGGAACCGCTGAGGCCGAGAAGGCCCGAACCGGCAATCGCTCGGCGGTTTTCATAAAGTTAGACATTTTTCCTGGCCATAAGAACCGGGAGCACGTTGATCTTGTGTGAGTAGAATTTTATCTAACGCCCTCCCCCCCTTACGTTTGTATATGTGCGTAAGTGATGTCTCCGTCTGGGTTTCTAATTTTTTTGTCTAACAGGTTGGCAATCTTTTGCGGTCTATGGCTCTTCGTGGGAACGGGATAAGGCATTTGCGGGTTGGCTGCTTTTTATGTTAGGATGTTACGATAGTGCTTTAGTGAAACGAGATACGGTGCAAGATACTTACGTTAGTTCCTTTGTCTCCTCTCCTTAATTTCCTCTTGATACTTTTGTAGTCCTAGAACTTCTTGATTTCCATCCTCCCTTTATATTATTTTGAAGCGATTAGTCCCGCCCAGGGATCCATCAGGGTATAGCGTAATTATATATCTTGATTAATTTTTGTTAGAGAAGTAATTTGCAAAATTGCAAAATACAGAATTTTGGACATTAACATATTTGGGGGTGTTGTTGGTTACCACCTAGTTATGGGTTACCCTCAAGATAGCTTTAAAGGCAAGAAAATTGACAACTACCACTCCACAACTGGTTCAAAAAAATTTATTTTTGAAACAGTAAATGGAATTGGCTCAGTTTGTATATTTATAAAATAAAAAATCCTAGTCAAATAATTTCTACTGGAGAGGACTATTAGTGAAATGTCATGATTTATTTACTATATTATATAGGATAAGAACCAAAAGTAGGTTTCCAGTAGTTCTCTTGCCTGAGTAGAAGTAGGAACAGGTATTGCCTGGATTCCAAGTGAAAAAAAAATTGGATTTGTATTCTTTTAATTTTAAGCTATGGGTTTGAAAATAGTACGATATTAGAAATTATATAACTTAAAGATCTTGCTGTTCATCAAGAGGTATATATATATCTTATTCTCTACTGACTCATATCTTTAAATATAGATTGCCTGATGTATTCTGTTTACTTTACTACTAGATAGATTGAGTATAAATCTCTAGTACTATCTAAATACCTTCTTCTCTACTATATAGCCTAATTTTCTTTTATTAGATATCCAATGTTCTCCTGAGAGCACTCAAGTTATGAATCATATTATTTTTTCTAGCTTTTAGTAGCCTTGTATCTTATATTAGGCTCCTGAATACGGCTTAATTGTTTTTGTAATAAAGGGTTTCAATTTATAAGAAATAGTAGTAACATTTTATTTTATTTGTTAAATTATCAGCTTTACATATAGATTACAGTATGGTAATTTTGGCACATTTATCAAAGAATAATATGCAGAGTCCCAATAGAGCTAGGAAGTTAACTAGAGTGACAATATTGACTATATAGATATTATAATTTTAGAATTTGAAAGGTTTCAAATCATTAACAAAAAAACTTCAAATAGTTGAGAATATTATATTATAAATATATCACATGGCTTAGAGATAGCATTACTTAGGATATAATGGATTCTACTAGAATATATTAAGAAATAGTCTTACATTTATGAGTATACAATTAATATATACATACAATAAAATGTTTTCTATGATTTTAAGTAGATCAATAGTCCAAAGCCTTTGAGCAGTCAAGTATAGGAATAAAGACTACTAGTAGGTGAGAGGAAAGGTAATTCTGCATATTTTAAACTTTATAAGATTTGTAGACTAACATTTCTAAGACTTAATGGGAGAAAAATATACTGATTAGAAAAGAAAAAATACTTGAATAACAGGTGGGATTTATATTCAATCTGTTTAGCATCAAAGTAAACAGAATACATCAGACAATCTATACTTAAAAATATGAGTCAATAGGGCTATAAGATGTATATATACCTTTTGATAAATAGCAAGAACCTTAAGTTATATAATTTCTAATACTTTACTATTTTCAAACCCATAGCTTGAGATTAAAAGAATACAAATCCAATTTTTTTTACTTGAAATCTAGGCAATACCTGTCTCTACTTCTACTTAGGTAAAAAGAACTACTAGAAACCTACTTTTGGTTCTTGTTCTATACCATACAAGTGTTTACCTATGTGTAACCACACTGATTCCTACATTCTGAATGCAGTACAATTAACAATACCTTTCTGAGTATTTATCATCAATTATCATAATTTTCTTAGTACTTATTATTATGATAGCTTAGCCTATACAAAGACAATGCCTACTACTTAATTGAACTATAAAACCTCTGTAAATACAATATTTTTTGTAATACCAACTGGTGTATTATCCCTTATTAATACCTTAACATTCTGAGGATTAGATGCTTGAGATAATGCCACATACAACTGTCCATGAGTAAAGACATCATTTTGCAAGGAAATTCCAACTGTATCTAATAACTGTCCTTGACTTTTATTGATTGTTATTACAAATGCCAAGTGAACTGGATGCTAACTTCTATTAAGTTGAAAGCCAAAATCACTATCTGCATTGCTTGTAATTTGAATGCGTAGTATATAGGCCTTTTGCCTACTACTTGTACCAGTAAGAATAATTCCTCCAATGAAATTTCTTTCCAAGTATATAATCTGAAGTCTAGTACCATTACAAAGACCATGAAGTGGACTAAGATTTCTTAAAAGTATAACAGTAGCACTAATCTTTAGTGATAACCTATGGTATGGCATTTCTGACAGTGTAAGTGAGTTTAGGTACTCACTGGAATAGAGTTCAGCAGCTTCTTCTGTAACTGTATCAGCACTGAAATATATTGTAGGATCCCTAGATAGTAGATCCAATACCATATCATTGATATTGGCAACATCAATATTACGGGGTGCTAAAATAGCTCTTCCAGCAAGATATTCAGATGCAAGTACTCCATTCTTAAGATCACTGTAGACACTACCAATAAGTTCCTCAATTGTGTTGTTTGGAAGTTGTAGAACCTTTGGTAAAAGGATTTGATCAATAGCAGAATGGTCCACCTGCTTTTCTCCAACTGCTAGAATGAACTCAGAATACTCTCTTACATTTCTCTGTTATTCTGGTGATAGATGGCCTCTTAAAAGTCGATAGTTTTCTTGCAGATGAAGAGTAACAATAGAGGACCAAAGATAGGATCTTTTTAGAGTAGAGGCAACAATCTGGGCCTGGGATCCTCGTGGTACTACTGGTAAGCACTGTCTGAAGTCTCTAGCAAAAAGAATAGTGAATCCACCAAATGGTTGGGAAGAAGAGTTACGAATATCCCGTAATGTTCTATCAACAGCCTCAAATGCATGCTGGTGTTGCATAGGAGCTTTATCCCAGATAAGTATACTGGTTTGTTGAATCTGTTAGGCCAGTACTGAATTTTTAGATATATTGCAAGCTGAATCCTTATCAAGACTGATTGGAATTTTAAGTGATGAATGAGTAGTCCTCCCAGAATTTAACAGAGTTGCTACAATACCACTGGATACAACTGCAATAGCTATTTTTCCCTCTGTACGAATAATATTTAAAAGTAGATTTTCTACAAAGGTTTTTCCTGTTCCTCCAGGACCATCTAGGAAAAATAATCCTGGATTGTTACATCTTACACACTCCATTATCCTGTCAATAACATTTCGTTAGAGGGTGTTACATCTCTGCAAGTCTCTTTCAACCTCCATTCTGACTTGAGATAGATACTGGCATTGTACTTCAGGTAGATTCTCATTATGATAAAGATTTTAATTGTATAAACCTTGATCAACTAACTGAAATTGGAAAGATGGACAGGGAATTCCAAAGTCATGGGTTGACTTTCCACTTTGTTCCAGGATGTAGTTTAAAAGAATTAGGCCAAGTGATAACCTCTGCTCCTCAGATGGACTTGTAATGCCATATTTGTTTACTAACTGATAAGAACAGTCCTCAGTAATAGACATCTTAAACTGATCCCATAATGTCTTTGGCTCAGCTGGATTGCAGTCAGTTAAGATGATAGCAAATAGTAGGCGCTGTTGAAATCCAGTCAACATTGAAGATCCATCCTCCAATGCTTTCTTTCATTCATCATCATTTTGAAGTAATCCTTTAGCATTACATGCTTCCCTAAAAGTTGAATAGGAGATACTATTGACTGTTTTTAGAGAGTCAAAGCTGACTGCATCCTTTGTATGCAGAAGTAACAACCTTTCATAAAACCACTCTCCTGCCTTAGGACTACAAAAATACATTCGTCCAATTGATGTACCTCTTATTTGTGGAATCCATTCTTGTTCTTTGCGTTGGAATACAAAATAGGTAGGGAAGTCCTGATAGAGCAGATCTTGAGCTTGTGCATACTTAATATTTGCCTTAAAATAGGCTGTTAAAGTAGTATCTCTAGCACTTCCTTGATCAACAACCTCATGAAGATTATCCTGTGCCTGAAAGTATAGCATATGGTGATTGGGAAGATGAAGTTGAAGTTGTTGAATTGAAGGACTCCCATCATGCATCTTATTACCAAATAGCCGCCAAGTTGCCTCTGGTGCTGAAATATATCGTGCATCAAGATAAACCTTTACTTCATCAACATTTATAGGATTATCAAGAATAATACTTATATGGTCTGGTCCTTTATATATATACTTGTATAAATACTTAACTGCCTATATTGAAGAACATATTTCAACATTGATATGACAGTTATACCGCTTAGTAAGGAAAGGATTATATGGAATAACCCATCTATTATTAAAGCGAAAGGTTTTTATAGTTCCATCTGATAATACTCGGCTTTTTTCGACATATTTTCCATCTTGCTGACGGTGATAACATGGATAACTATCTTCTCCCAGAATAGTTTCTGGTAAAAACACTGTAGGATAACGTTTTGAGTAGCAACCATCAATGCCTCTGCCATCAAGCATACATGGAGCATTACTATTTTCCACTCCACATGGCCCATGGAGCATACATGTTGTAAAAGTTTCCCATAGCTGAAGGTCTTCTCCCTTGTCTGGGATCTCTGCACAAACTGCCTTATCAATTTGTTCTATTGTATAAATTAAATCATGTGCTTGTAATATTATCAAAATATGTGCATGTGGCAGTCCTTGTTTCTGAAACTCAATAACATAGATGTAGGCCTTCACTTCTCCTAAAACACCTTTTTCTGCAAGGTCCTTAATTAGACTGCTGAGTTTTAACTGAAAAACTCTAGATACCAAATCAGGTCAATCTGTAACCTGCTGTCCATAAAGTAAGTTTTCCTGAATCTCAGGCCATACAGGATTGCAAGTCATTGTGATAAAGAAATCTGGTTTATCAAATACTCTTACAATAGCTATTGCATCTTGATATAACTCTGTCATCTGCCTGGATGAGCCAGCAAATGTTGAGGGAAGAATTACCCATTTGCCTAAATTGGCTAAATCTATATCTTCCTGATTGGCTAAGGTATCTGCCAGTCCTTAGTATTGATCACTATGTAGTACCTTCTGATTTAATAAGACCTATCATA